AGGGCCAAAACAATGGTTTATAAAATAGAGGGATCAATATCCAAAAATAAGGGTAACAAAGTTGCAACTAAACCAAACATTTTTAAAAATTAAAAGGTGCTAAAATTTAGTTTTTGGGATTTGAAGGAGTTTCGTCTAAATACTTTATCCCTCGATTGTCAACTCAACCAAATGAATAAGTGGTATTTAAAAAAAAAAGTATGACACATCTATGGTTCACACATCAGTTTTTAATTAGGTGAGGTGAAAGTTTTATCATAAAATATATTATTTGTAGTAGTGATTCCTGCATCGTATATCATTGAATAAATATGTGTATCCAATTTGATTTAGGCCCTTGGAGTTAATACTAGGACCTTTAGGTGTCCATGTCTTGAGACCACTAGCGACTTTTACATTATTAATGTGACATAGAAGCCTAATATAATCCTTTTCATACAATAATGATAAATCACTTTAGTAGAGTTATTCTTTCTAATATTTCGAATGAAATGAACATTTTTATAATATTTTCTAAAAAAATTCTCTATATCACTTGGACTGATAGAAATACTACTAGATGATTTGGAGATATGTATTATTTGTCCTTTTAAATTGTCAATTTCAAGTTTTAAATGAGTACAAGTATCACACTCAACTACATCTACATTTTCTTTTAAAGTGTTAGAGATATGCAACTGATTACTAACAAGAGATGCATATTCCTCTTTCAAGGATTCTAAAACACTTTCAAATTTTAAGATTTTTTTCTCAAATTTTAAATTATTTTTCTTTTGAGAGAAAATTTTCTTAAAAGAATTTAATGCATCATTATAAATTTTATGAAAAGTTTTAGATAGCTCATTGTAAGAAGGTAAATAATGTAATTCAGAATCACTTACCTCCAAGTTCTTTTCCATGTGACACGCCATCAAACAAAATATTTTCGATTTCATCTTCATCTAAACTTGTAGTGGAATAGGAGAAACACTACAAGAAATATTGCAGTTTCCCAAGTGATATTCAATTCACTAACATAAAAACCACTTCACTAAAAAAATTTGCGACGTGGGTAAAACACGTCGGAAATGCAATGGTGGGAATTTTTTCCCACGTGGTAAACACGTCACAAAGTTGTGACAGAGTTACCACGTCGCAAACCACAAAATAAAGAGGAAAAATTCCCACGTGAAAACCAAGTCACTAATTAGTGACGTGAAAATCACGTGGGAACATTACTTTACCAACTTTCTCTGCACGTTTCCCTGACACAAGTATATTTTATTACCCATGTGATTTCCACGTCACAAAGTTGTGACCTAGTTTTCACGTGGGAAACTACATTGAATTAATATTCTTCCCATGTGATTCCCACGTCACTAATTAGTGACATGGGATCCACTTCACTATTAAATTTAATTATAAAAAAAAATATTAACTGAAAACAACTATAAAATTAAAATAAATATTAAATATTAAATATAAATTTAAATTTAAAATAATTTTTAGTTAAAATAATATACATTTAAAATATATAAATAATACATATTAAAGTAAATATTTTATTTTTTAAATTTGTTTCAAATAAATAATACATATTTAAATAATCTGAAAAATATTTTGTTGTTTGATAAATTAAATATTCTGTTTTTGCTGTTGTTGACAATTTTATATAAAAATCTGAAAAAATCTAACTTAAAAATCAACAACAACACAATACTATATCTCAAATTTAAAATCTCAAATTTACTAAAATCTCAAATTTTCCAACAGCAACAGCATTACTTCAAAGCTACTAAAATCTCAAATTCTCTAACCTAAATCTCAAAGCTTTCAACAATAACAAAATAATACACAATAAATATAAAAAATTAAAATGCATAAATACCTCTCTCAAAGCTTCCAAATAAAACTTCTTATAAATCAATTAATATTCTTAGATCTGCAAAAAAAAAATCAGTTAATAATAAGAAAAATATAAAATAAACTATAAAGAAAAATAGTTACAAGCATTCACCTTAAATTTTGAAGAAAAAATTAACTGGATTAAGGAGCTGGAGTGGAGTTGTAGCAAGGAGCTGAGGTGAACGAAGGGAAAGAACAAAGAAAACTTCTGGAAATTCTGATACGTTGTGTGCCTAAAGAAATTCTGGAAATTTTTATATATAACGTATCTTCCGACGTGGCAAACCTTTGGGAAATTAGCGATGTGCATAAAGCTTCGCAACTTGCGACGTGGCATCTACTTCGCAAGCTTGCGACGTGATATCCAGGTCGGTACTATCCATATATTAAATTGTTAACGTTATGCCATTAATGGCAACTTTGCTTTTCAAATTTTGCGACGTGGGATGTACTTCGTAACTTTGATGTAAGTGGGTTGCGAAGTGGAATTCATGTGGGTATTTTGTGACAGGTTAATCACGTGGCAACAAAAATCTATTTTTTGAATTTTAGGTTCCCATGTGAAATACACGCCACAACAGAATTTGTCAAAAATTCAAAATTCCCCCTCTCTTAAAAATCCAAAATTTCGTTCCAGATTTTAGAGGTAAAAAATTTATTAATAAAAAATGTTTGTGACGTGATAATCACTTGACAACAATTTTTTTCCCAAGTGTTTACCACGTCACTAATTCACTAGGGAAAAGCAATGTTTTCTTGTAGTGAAATCTTCATCTTCTTCCCAATCAATGTAGGCTCTAAAAATTTTGGCTTTATGATCCTTCATCTTGTAGAATGTTTGTTGGCTTATGCAATTTGTTAAACTTGGACAATTGATTTTGTAGTGTTCGATTTTACCACATTTGTAACAGGTAACTTGTATTTCTTTCTTCTTTTCATCTTCTAATTTCTTTGGTGCGTTAGAAATTCTGAACTTTACTAAGTTTTTATCATAATGTTTTAAATTGTTTCTCTTTCTATATTTGATATATCGTGTGACAAACAAACTCATCCGTTCTTTTTCTTTCAAAGAATCTTTAGTGTTACTATCTCCATCTTCCTCTACCTTAGCCTTAAAAGTGTAGGACTTCACGAATATGCTTCTCTTTTCCTCTTTAAATTTTTCTTTCTTTTTCACATTTTCTTCACTTTTTTTAAGTCTTTCAACTCGCGTTCATGCTCATTAAGCTTTTCATAAAGAGTAGACATATCAAGTGATTTAAGATCGTTAGATTCTTTTATGGCATACAACGTTGGTTGTCATATCCTGTGTATAAACCTTATTATTTTTGCTAGGAGAATCTTGATTAGACAAATTCTTTCTTAAAATTTCTAAATTCATCTGCATGGAAGCCACAATATTTTATAGTCACATAAAATTGATCTTCTTCGTAACCATAATGTCCATTATTTCCATATATTTTTTTAGTAATTGTGTCTATATTTCATTTTCCAAAACGAATCATATTTTCTTGAATTAACTTCTTTATTCACACTCGTTTACGAAAATGCAAGAACTCTTGCTTATTTTTTTATTGTATTCAAGTGGCGATGCAACGACTCTTATTCTTATGACATTGTACTTGAGTAAGACAACATGTTACTTCCATACAATAACATAACATTCACATTATTTCATAATTATTTATGTCATAGAAATTCAATAAAATTTTATGTTAACTATCGACTGTCTAATACAATTATCTCATTTTATTCGGGCGGATAGGATTTTCTAAAATTTCACTCAATTTTGAACTTTTGAAATGTAAAATATATTTCATAATTTAATATAGCTTGCAAAAACTAACTCATAGCATTTAATTTTTTTTAATACTCTATCCGTTTTATAATAACCGTCACATTCGTATTAACAAAAAAAAACTGTTCCAAAAATAGTGTTGTTACATTCAATATAATTTCATGGAAACAACCCAAGCAAGAATTTGATGAGTGAGCCTCTTTTAGTAAGACAAGTCTAAGTCGTCTTTATAATAGAAAAATAAGCAGGTCAATGGTCTTCCACTAATTCTTGATTTAATGAATAAAGTTTTTATCGAGTTTCCAAGATCTTGCTTGCAAATCGACAAAGATGAGGTTGTTGGATAACTTTTATTAAACATTGTTAAAATTAAAATAATTTAGTATAAAATTAAGCTTTAAGGGGTTTAGTTATACCTAATCAATATACTTATATTAAAAATATAAGATAATGACATTTATATAGGATAGTATTTGATATTTACTTATTTATGTATTATTGAAAGATGTGTAAGATTTTTTCAAAAACTATATAAAGGTGAATAAGATGTGTGGAAGGAAATAGTTTTTTTTTATAAATGTTAATTTGAATTGTGTGACATGTATTTTGTGAATGTCATATAAATATTCAAAAAATTGATTTAATCTCTTACATTATTATTGTATTTTTCTATTTTCTCTATAATTTGTTTTTTCTAACAATATTTGTCCTTCATATGTTATTGAACTCATTTGATTGATGAATTAAAAAAGTTGAATTTGATTAAACAAATATATAGCGCATTTGATATGTGTCTTCCTCATTGGTATCTTTTGCCTAGCTGTGAAAGGATCACGTAACCATTTGAAGGGACCATGTAATCTAAAAACAAGATAAAACTACAAATAAATAAATATATGAATAAAACAAATTTGTTGTAAAAAAGCTTATAAAAATTTACTTTTCAAGAATCTAGTAGTAATTAGTAAGTCTACTTACTCATATTTTAAAATTATTAAAAACATATTTACTTATATAAAACATCCAGTTCTTCAAGCATAAAAAACCATCCGTAATTCTTTAGAATAAAATTTAATTATTTATTATCAAAAGAATTTGAAACAAGTGAATTTTTAAGCTAACCTAAAATAATAAAATATCTTCTTTTCACTTAACAAAAAAACAAAAAAGCACATGCTTTACTGAAACATTGTAGAACCTCATGTGGGTCACATAACTATGAATTATTCTAATATGTTCATGCTTATAAATAAATGTCCCAAACACTTCAAATTCTCATCACACTTTCACAAAACCAAATACACAAAATTTACCAAACATGGTAGTACAATTATTGACACTTCCTAGTTGGGTCACATTGTTCACCACGTTTGCCATCCTCCTCCTCTTAAGCCGCCGTCTCCGCCGCCGCAAATATAATCTACCACCAGGCCCAAAACCATGGCCCATTATAGGAAACTTCAACCTTATTGGATCCCTCCCACACCAATCCCTCCATGGGCTCACTCAGAAATATGGGCCCATCATGCATCTATGGTTCGGCTCCAAACGCGTTGTCGTGGGTTCAAATGTAGAAATAGCAAAAGCCTTTCTCAAAACTCACGACGCTGCGTTAGCTGGCCGACCCAAATTTTCGGCCGGCAAATACACAACTTATAACTACTCCGACATAACTTGGTCTCAATATGGTCCGTATTGGCGCCAAGCTCGGAGAATGTGTTTATTAGAATTGTTTAGTGCAAAACGTCTTGAGTCTTATGAGTACATAAGAAAACAAGAGTTACATGTTTTTTTGCATGAACTTTTCAATTCTAGAAACAAAACAATTTTGTTGAAAGACCATCTTTCAACTTTGAGTTTAAATGTTATAAGTAGAATGGTTTTAGGAAAGAAATATCTAGAGAAAGTTGAAAATTCTATTATTTCTCCGGATGAGTTTAAGAAGATGTTGGATGAGTTGTTTTTGCTTAATGGGATTCTTAATATTGGAGATTTTATTCCTTGGATTCATTTCTTGGATTTTCAAGGGTATGTGAAGAGGATGAAGGTTTTGAGTAAAAAGTTTGATGGGTTTATGGAACATGTTTTGGAGGAACATATTGAAAGAAGGAAAGGTGTTAAGGATTATGTTGCTAAGGATATGGTGGATGTTCTTTTGCAACTTGCTGAGGATCCTGATCTTGAAGTAAAACTTGAGAGACATGGAGTTAAAGCTTTTACTCAGGTATATAATTATTAATATTTTTTTAAATTTTTTTATTTATTTGTGAGTAATTACGTTTATGACCAATGTTGCTTGTTCCTTTGTTAGTTTATGGAGTTTTTTATTTATTGATATGATGTGATGCGGACATTCAAACTTTTACTTGTTTTGAGTCCCATCTTTCAAAAAGATAAAATGGATGTATGTGAAAGTTGTGGTGGGTCTTGGTTTTTTTTTGTGTGGGGGTTATAATATGACTTTCAAATATATATATATATATATATATATATATATATATATATATATATATATATATATATATATATATATATATATATATATATATATATATATATATATATATATATATATATATATATATATATATATATATATCATTTTTCAATATAAATTTAAAATTATTCAATATATGGTTTTATCTGTTATATATATATATTCCTTAGGACTTGATAGCGGGAGGGACAGAGAGCTCAGCAGTGACAGTAGAATGGGCAATCTCAGAGCTAATAAGAAAACCAGAAATCTTCAAGAAAGCAACAGAGGAGCTAGATCGAGTAATAGGAAGAGAAAGATGGGTTGAAGAGAAAGACATTGTCAATCTACCTTATGTTTACGCAATTGCTAAAGAAACAATGAGACTACATCCAGTGGCACCAATGTTAGTACCAAGAGAAGCTAGAGAAGATTGCAATGTTGATGGATATGATATTCCAAAAGGGTCTTTGATTCTTGTTAATACTTGGACAATTGCAAGAGATTCTAATGTTTGGGATAATCCAAATGAGTTTATGCCAGAGAGGTTTCTTGGTAACGATATAGATGTGAAAGGACATGATTATGAGTTGTTGCCATTTGGTGCTGGTAGAAGAATGTGTCCTGGCTACCCTCTTGGTATTAAGGTTATTCAATCAAGTTTGGCTAATTTGTTGCATGGATTTAATTGGAGATTGAGTGATAATGTGAGAAAAGAGGATTTGAATATGGATGAGATTTTTGGGCTTTCTACACCTAAGAAGATACCATTAGAAGTTGTTTTGGAGCCTAGACTTGATGATCATCTTTACTCACTTTGATTGCTTAGGCTTTGGTTTTAATAAGATTGGGAAAATAATGGAATTTATGTGAGATAAAAAGTAAGTGTGATGTCACGATTAAAAAAAATTGTATTTGATAATTTGAGTTTAGCAATGAGTGTAGTATTATAATCCTTTGTAACTCTAGAGTTTTGTAATACCAAATTAAAGCATATTATGTTATCTTTTTCTTAAGGTTAATCTTGACAAAGTTTGGTTTTTTAATAATTATAATTGATTTTGGGTCTAAAATTGATTTTAATTGAAATTTGTTGTTCAACTAATGTAAATGTATTCTAATATAGTGGAGGAGTTTTGACATTCTTCCTAACATTGAGGAAGTTTTTTGATTTTATCATAGTCCTGCCTGACTCGAAAGTTTAGACTTAGGATATCAGACTTGTTCCTTCCAGCAATGAAGCCATTTTACAAAGATGGTTAGATTCGGGTCATCATCGATATAAAAATTAGTCTCTTCCTAGTTGTTTGGTTGATTTAGAGAGGAGAGTATATGCACACACTTTGATGCCTAAATCAATGACTATTAAATATAAGATGTATACAATTTTAAGAAATTTTTATGCGTACCTTGATTTGACGCATATGGTCATTTTAATAGAGGTCTTATTAGAGTTTCTGTTAGCCCTTATCCCTTAACTCCACTATAATGGAGAGAGGACTTATTGAAAGGTTATGCTGACTCCTTAAGAAAGATACTCTAGTAGGCAAAATAAGGTAGACTCTATAAAAAATGTCAAATCACTCACACGAAATACTCTAGTGTTTCAGTTCCCAAGAATTATAATAATGGTACCTTCGAAAAGGTGTTTGAAGTTTGAGGTGATAAAGGCGTGATCCCTAAGAAAACAAAACGTTTTCTTTTGCTCTTCCAAGTATAAATTCGAGAGCGATCGACAACCGAGGTAAATACAACAAACCATTGCCTTGCTGAGCATAGGAAGGGTCTTAGGGGGAAACTATTCTTGGTCGGCCATAGCGACCCCGACAACCACTCTAAAGGAATGATAATCCTTCTAGAATCTTCCCAGCACATGAGGATTATCCTACATATAATCACATAGTATATAAACCTCTTATGCATCCAAGGGCTCCCTGTGATTCACGTATGAGAAGTAGGAAGTTGTTATTTCCTCTTTAATATATATATATATATATATATATATATATATATATATATATATATATATATATATATATATATATATATATATATATATATATATATATATATATATATATATATATATATATATATATATATATATATATATATATATATATATATATATATATATATATATATATATATATATATATATATATATATATATATATATATATATATATATATATATATATATATATATATATATATATATATATATATATATATATATATATATATATATATATATATATATATATATATATTTCCATTCATTATTTTTTCTCACGTACTGTCGTTGGTGTTGGAGTGCGAACCTTACAGGTCATCCCCATCTCCATTGCACCAAAAGCTCAGATCCCCCTTCACTTTCAATCCTCACTCTATTTTTGATTCTAGAACTGAACATCTAGTATAAAAGCATATATCTTATACTGATTTTAAAAAAAAATCCAGTATTAATTGTCAAAAAAAACTATTTAATGATATTATGGTAAAAGTCTTATCAACGGAGGTGCCATATAAAATAAATAGGGAGCCAGATGAATTCTCGAGTAGTAGAAATCATATTATCTTTTAGGAAAAATACTTTTTTTGACCCATTAACTATACCCTTGGTTTCATATTGGCCCCTTAATTTTTTTTCGTGTCAAATTGGTCCCTTAACTTTTAAAATGTGTCATGTTAGTCCATTTCGACTAATTAGCGATGAAAATTTTCAAAAAATTATTCACTAAATTCGTCGCTACAGTACCAAAAGGATTATCATGACACATTTTAAGAGTTAAAGGATCAATCTGATACGAAAAAACTTAAGGGATCAATTTAAACCCAAAGATATAGTTAAGGGAACAAAAATGGTATTTTTCCTATCTTTTACATAAAACTTGCTCATGCCCGGAACTCCCTATTGGAGTTATTTTACTATATTACCTTGCATATTAAAAAATCATTTCACATTTCAACGGTAATATTTCGAAATTTTTTGAAAGATGTGCGAGATTTTTCGAGCCAACTACTTAAAGTTTACAAGTAAGTTGATATTTTACTGTTAATTTATTTTTTATACCATATTTTCCTTTAAAAACATGCATTTTTACTAGCATTTTTGAAATTTCCTGTAGAACTCATATTTCTCATGCAGTTTTATGAATACTTTGAAAAATCTGGTTAAACAACATGCATTTTTACCTAATATTTAAAAATTTTCAGTAACAATGCATATAAGCATACTAAGTATTTCAAAATATCTGGTAGAAGAAAATGTTGAGTTGCTAACCGAATTTTTCAAAAAAAATCATAAAATTCATGTTGATTTCTGGATTTTTAAAAAATGCGGTAGTTCATATATATATTTTTGGTAGTGAGGACTAGAGAAAAGGACGATACAATTGCTTCTAGGCAGGTTGACAGAGCTGCAAATAGGCCCTGTGCGAGGATAGATGGCATCGAAGATTCACATATATGGGCGGGGAGAGTAACCCCGACTGGTTCTCATAGGCGAAGGATGCATGGGCATTCATGTGCATCCCACACTATCTTGCGTAGAAGAGGTAGAGTTGATGGACTAGGGTGCTCACTTTCGCCTATTTTGGCTTTGAGAGAGGTATACGAAGCTAGTGGGGCAGTTTATGTATGAGACAACTGCTAGGGTATACATCTAACATGTTGTTGGATGTATTATCTTAGAGGATAAGTCTCATGTATATATTGATGTGAGGCACATGTCTTTGTTTACCTATCTTAACCATGTCAGTTGAGCATGAGGGTGTGATGCATTGATTGTACTATATTTTGCACTTGAAGAGGCGTATGTCTTTGAGATTAGGCAACTTGTTGGTCATATGAGTCTATTTCAAGTAAACAAATTTATTTTGTCTTATTAATTTAGTTCTTAATTATGACATTTGTTAATTTTCCTATGTTCTTGTGCAGTGTTGGTACGACAAACAATATAAAACAAGTTGAGAACATGTGTAATATTAAGTTCATAACTAGGAAAAATGAATGGTAAGAATGCATAAAGAAAATGTTTTTATATTATTGCACTCTAATATGAGCTCTACGTCAAATAAGCGACGATAGTAAGTTATGTCTAGCATCTTGAACTTCTTGTTGATTATCCATCTTGGTATGATATATATGTTCCCCTATTGATTTTTTAAAATTTTGACTTGTTTTATAAGTTATCTCATCCATTTAATAATCGGTTTAATATAAAACTTGTTGAACCCTTGAATATGAAGTTTTATTTTGCTACTTTTTCTTGCGATATTTCTGAGATTTCTTTATTTATAATGTGAATATAGTATTTGGTATTTTAAGGTTTGGTCTATAAAATGGAGATTCAAAAGTGTTTGTGGGGTTGAATGAAGAAGACATTGTTAATTTGATTGAAAGAGAAAAAGTATAAATAATTAATTATAATGTTAAATATTTAAAAATTAATATTATTTTAAAAGTTTATTTTTTAAGAAAGAGAAATAATTGATATTTTATAGACTGTTTACTAAAATTATAGAAATAGATATAACATATTGTATGTGTTTCAAAATAAGTGTTAATTATATTTAATAAACAAAATTTGTCTCATAATGTTAGTTTTTATCTTTTAATTTTATTTTCAATTAATTTATGTTCGTCTTTCTTAATTCATCAACATATCACTTTGTATTTATAATTGATAATATGATAAAATTTACAATTTATGTCAAAGGATGTATGTATTAATAATAATTGTCAAGTATAATTTGATAAAACTATTTGTCACTTTGTTTATATTGGGCTAAACATAATTTAGAGATTAACTGTGTTACGCAATTCTAATTTTGCTTGATAGAATTTTGTGTATTTTTGGAGTTTAGTATCTTTTGTAAACTCTACTAATTGTTTTATAATTTTGTAGTACTTAAAAGTAGTTATGTTTTCTAAATAGTAATCTACTAGTTTTAGATTTTCTACATATTGCTTTATATAATGTCATGTCGTCTATAAAACTGTAAGCAAAGCTATTTCAATTAGACTTAAGGGTATTATGTCAACGATCATGTTACCAAAACAAAACAATCTAGATATGTCTTTCAACATTATATAATTAACAAAAAAGTTGTTCTGAAATAGATTTTTTTTTCTTTTTCAAATTTATCACTTATCTTTAAATAAATTTGAATTAAATATCTTAAAGTGAAAAAAAGTCAAAATTAATGAAATACATATACAAATAATATCCATATATAAATATTTAAAGGTCTAATATGATAAGTTCACTTATTATATTTTTTATATCAAATATATATATATATATTTTTTAAAAGTGTATTGTTGAATTTTATTTTATGATGATGCTGATCTAGGATAAATTTTTTCAATTGTGAACTAAGATCTGATGGTAATTCTCTTAAAGGTCTTGACGTTCTCTGACATCAATTTAGTGGTGCGACAGTACCTGCAAATACTCTAATATCTAAGTTAGTGATAAATGAAAGTGAAAAGTATTTATGGTTAGAGTAGTTTATACCTAAATATAAGGCCTTTGTTAGGCTTTTAAAATAAGACTTGGGTTTGTAGAACCTTCTTTGAGAGCACATGTCTTAGGGGGTAGATACTCGCATATTGTAATATGCCTTGATTTGACAACAAACTCGTTTTAGGAAACATTTGAGCCTTTCACTTTGCGGTCGTCCCCTTTGTAGAGCTTTCATGAATTGAGTGTTGGCCTAGTCTAAAATAGTAGCCTTAAGCCACAACCAAGGTAGTTAGGACATGGTTTGTCAGCTTACCTTGTTCTTTTGCACGCGTCTCAACTTCATACTCT